TTGGCATTAACTCCAAAGATAAAACAGAGCCCGATCGATAAAGACAATCGAGGTGTAAATTTATCTCCAGTCGGTAAGAACGAGCGCCATGTAAATTTTTCGGACAAATGCGCATTTGCCTGCATACTCGTTGTTCGTAAAATTGTCACTACTATAGTTTAAACCAAAAATTCGCCATGTCACTGACCACTGATTCTGTTTATGCTTTATTGGATTAATTGATCATTTAATTTGACAAATGTTCTTAGGATTCAAAATGAGAAATATTTTCACATCCTATGGTCAAACAATGTATAGTTTCTTTATTTATTAATGCTACTGATTCTATGATCAACGCTTTAGCAGCTGAAAATTTCTGAAGTAGTTTCGTATAAGTTATCCACATATTGTAGAAAATTAAAAACTGCATTTTTCATTGAAAGTACTGTAAGATATTGAAATTATTATTTTGTACAACAAAATTCATGAAAAATAATTTTTCATGTAAACAATATTTGATGGGATATAAATGTATCATTATTCCTATAATGTCATTTTAGGGAATGTCACAGTTTTTCCGACGTGGTAATACACATTTTCTGAATCATTGTTTAATCATAACTTTTCCTGCCCAATACCATGAAAAATGCGCTTATATATCATGAGCTTTCTTCTTCGGCGAGAAATTTGAGCGGAGTAGAATTGTCTCCACTATTTGCATATTTTTCTGTATGAGATTTGATATTTGAATGTCTACGGTAATACTGTTCACGTCTCGATGACTATAGCTCACTCCCGAAAAACATTCAATATATAATTATATATTCATGTCATTTTTATATCACAGCACGCTGAACATCTTTGTATCTACCCTTGAGAGATCAGAGCAATCATCATACGAATATTTATTCTTCATTCGAAGCTTGAATTAGTATAGTGCAATTCTATAACAACATTTATTCCAATTTTTTATTGTGTTCTTTTAAAGATATCAAATAATTTAACTTGCTTTAAACTCTTGCGATAGATACGAAAATTGAATTTTCAAACCATAAGGATTTTTCGTTTCGTGCGTTATGCCGCTCGGACGAGTGAATTTGGAAATGCTGACCTCAAGCCGAAAAAGGACAATTTGGCGCGTTTTTTCAAGATAAAAAATTATTAACAGCTAGACCTGATATAGGTTAGCCATATATTGAATTTCAACGATTACAAAGTTTCCATTCCGAAAAAAAGTCATTTAAAATAACGAAAAAGTATCCGATTCCTAATTATTGCGTTTAGTTCACGGAGAAAAAAATATAGATGAAAATTATGAACCGGTTACGTAATCGTGGGGCGTAAATGGCTCCTATTAAAAATTACTGGAGATTCCATAAAATTTGTCGATTTTTTAGGAACTTTCAGTACTTCATACTAAAAAGAAATTCTGCCTCACCATTATATAACAGTTCCGTAAATTTTCCGGGATTTTTTTTATCTCCGTGGTGAAACCGACCCTCCACCTCGCAGAAAATCTGAAGAAAACAATCTTTGGAAAATACTTAAAGCAATCATCAATTTGACCCTTTATAAAAATGATACCGAGACCCTTAGGTAACAATATTGATACAGGAAAAAGTGAATATGTTTTGAAAAACGTGTGAACAAAATATTTTCATTCTCAAAAAAAAGCTGAACTAGAGGACAATCTGAATAAAATTGCAAGTTGACATACCTTGCATACTTAATCGAATGGGAAAACTTTTTATGGCTGAGACGAGACTATCACGAGATAAAAGAAGTGGAAAAACAATTAAAACTTTAAAAATAGAACAGTTTGACGCACTTTCTTTCAATTGTGCTGACATGTGGGAATCTTTTAATATCGTGAGAATTTTGAGATTCGTGAAGTTCATCATAATGTAAAATAAAACATATTTTTGTGCACAATTATTTGAAAAATATAATGACAAAATACATGAAATAAAAATGTGATGGCACTCACCGACATCTAAATGTCACCAAAGATCTTCTATAAATGAATGCAATTGTGGCA